AAAAGATTACGAAAAGTTTATTTTAAAAAATCTTAAAAGAAAAGATAGAACAGAAAAATCGATATATGCTTGTTTTAAAGGACCCCTCGCACAAACACACGCATGAGGCAGGCAGCGCCCGCGAGGGAGGCAACCCATCGCACATGGCTGGCGGCGCGGTCACCTTACCTGGCAGGAGTCTTTGCCTCCCTCCACGTAGCCGGCGCAGATCTGGCTCTCGATGACGGGCGAGTAGTCTTCCTCCTCCATGTACATGTCGTTGCACTTCTTGGCGTCGATGATGGGAAGGTCGACGGCCTGCAGGTTGTCTGGTATCGGCGCAGCCTACGGCACGACGTATAGGAGGGTGAGACTAAAGGCGAGACTCTCAACGACAATGAGCTCAAACCGACCGCGGAACGAGCACCAAGAGGTTCTTACTTTCGAGTCGACCGTGCGGCCCCAGCCGCTCGCCACGCACAGGGTGCCCTCGGGCAGCTCGTTCTCCTGCAGCTGGACGGGCCAGATGCCGGCGTCCAGCGGCAGAGCCTCGGCGAGCTGTAAAGTGTAAAAACCATTATTGACGTGTGACGTGTACTTATCAGAACCCGCGCAGTCACGTGACCTGGATTCGAATCCGCACTGACGGATGGCAAAGCCTCCACCTGCGCTTATCGCATCTCTCCATCGCCAAGGTCACGCGGGAGACGCCGCACCCGAGCCTCCTCCTCCACCACCTCCACACCATCACCAAACCACCACTTTCCCTCAAGGCGCCAGTTTGGTCATCAATTATTGGGAGTGCTTCGCGCGGTCGACTCTCCTCGCGCGCGGTGGTGGCGGCGTAAGCACAGTGCTGCGTGCACTACTGAAGTGCGGGGCGTGCGGGGTGGGGGGTCCTCCCCGCCAACGCTGCTGCTATGAGGAGATTAGCCGAGGATCGCCATTAGGGCCCCACCGGGGCGCTCTTCAATACGCGCCCCCCCTGCCCTCCCCCCCCCCTCGCTTCCTATCGCGGAGGTGCTTCCCGTGTCGCCCACGGCTGCCGCGCCAAAACTAGAGACGGCGAACGTTACGTTACGACTTGGACTGATACGGGCATGGCTGCGTCTTCTAGAGCTGTGGCGGTGACTCACAAAGAGCAGCGCGATGTCGTACTCCTGGTACACGTTGCCGTAGTCGGGGTGGACCAGCGCGTCCAGGACGTACGCGGTGGCGCCGGGCTGGCTCTGCAGGATGGAGCCCGCCATCACGGACATGGCCCGGATGAACTCCGGGGAGCGCCTGTGCGGGCAGAGGAGTATGAGCAACGCTGGGCGGCGGGTTGGGTCTGGACACACCCCGAGGGGTACTTCACAAGAGTAAAATCAGAGTACACCCGCAAAAAAAAATTACACACAAAAAAAAAACAACAGAAAAATAAGAAGAAAAGGGAAAACAACTCTGGAAAAATCAAGGAAAACAGAAAAAAAACTGTGTACTCTTGAATTAACAGTGAAGTACCCCTGAACTCATCCCCGAGGATGCCGACGACAAGCGCGATGCTCTTACTGGTACACGCAGTGGGCGGCCGTGACTACCGTGGTGGCGTTGAGGACGGCCCCGCCGCAGAAGTGGGACTCGGTCCCCGACCTAACCGACACCTGAAACAGAAAAAGGAAGCAGCGAGGGCGAGCGTTATAGTCGCGTCCGGCAGGAGGGTCAACTGGCGTGTCACTGACGCCGTCGAGTGGTCTCACCTGCCAGGGGAACTCCCCCGGCTTCGCGTCGCGGCCGCCGACGATCCTGGGCCCGGTGGCCGTCACGTTCGTCCCCTTCGTCACGCTCGTCACGTTTACATTGTGTGGCTTGACGGTTGCCGATGATGCGACTGAAACATATAGGAAAGCATGAATCAAGATGACATAGTCGCGCAAACTTTCATCATAACAGCTATTTGGGAAGCAATGAACTATGCCCTGCTTGAACGTCAGAACGAAAAGCATAGAGCACTCACACCCCTGGGGGTTATCAAAATAAGCATCGGCCGACCGGCCGACCGACCGACCGTCCGGCCGACCGACGTGTTCCAAAACGTGTTTAAAGTGGGTGACACACACATTTTCGGAAAGGGGGAAGTGTGGGGATCATTATTCTGTAACAAACTTTGAGATGCGCCGTTTATAACGCCCGTGAGACGCACTAGGATAAAGTGACAAAGGATTGCGATCAACTGTAAATGCCCGCGGCGCTACTTGAACTGTCGTTTCTAATCTTGGTGTAAAGTGCTGACCCAAAAATTTGCAAATTTGTTACGTTTCAACATGAGAAACGGCAGTTTTAGAAGCGCCACGGACATTTACAGTTGCTCGCAATACTTTGTCACTTTATTCTAGTGCGTCTCACGGGCGTTATAAGCGGTGCGTCTCAATGTTTGTTACAGAATAATGATCCCCACACTTCCCCCTTTCTGAAAATGCGCGTGTCACTCACTTTAAATACGTTTTGGAAAATCGGCCGGTCGGCCGGTCGGCCGGTCGGTCGGTCGGCCGGTCGGCCGGTCGGCCGATGCTAATTTTGATAACCCCCAGTCAAACTTTCACGGCGAATGAACGCATCGCGTTTTCAAGATGAAGATAGACTTGGTCAGCACTGAAACTCGTGTTTTGCTCTGATTTGGCTTCGCGCCGTGACGCACGGCCTTGAGATATAGTCAAGGTGTGGGACGGGGACGGTCATGATGACGCGAATGCTCGGCTTTGGACGACGCCTCGGCGCGCGCCACGCCCCAGCAGCAGGGCGTGAGAGGGCGTGCCGCCGGAGAGCCTGCCGCGGCGCCGTCGGGAGTCGCGTGCAAGTCGGTCGATGTGGAGCTCGTCGATGCAGGGGTGACCCGGGCGGGGGACGACGGGAGGAGGGCCGGGGTGACCTGCTGCATCGACTCCACGATGCCCTTCATCTCTTCCAGTTTGCGAGTCACGGAGCTCTGCCGCGATCGGAGGTGTTCGGAAACGAGAATAATACTCGGGTAGTACTTTCGGATGACACCCACCGACGGCACCATATAAACAACACAACGGGCGAGGAGACCACGACCAACGCGACTCGCCCATGGGTGCACGATCGGGTGCAATCTCAAGCTGCCCCCACGATGAACATCCCACGAGTTGGCGCGAGAGGGAGCATTGGGCGTCAAACGTCCTCTTATTTGCCTGAAGTTCCCGCACTTATTTGGGCGCACCGGGCGGGCCGCCGTCTTCACACGGCTGCCTGGCAGGTTGGCCTACCCAGCGCCTGGCAGGCGCTATCGTTAGGATCACCTCGTGCGTCGTTCGATGAGGGGCATCTTTAGCAAGCAAACTCTTCTGAAAAAACGGGGCACTCTTTAAAAAATACTCGTATGGCAAACACCAGCCCGTCATCCGACTCGAAACGACATCTAAATGATTTTATATGGTAGGCTTAATAGAAAAAAATAACACTTTGACACCCGATTTGGGAGTCACGTATTGGATCAAAAAAAGGTAGTCGCGAGCCCTCCTCCGTCGCGTATGCTTTCGTGCTCCGTCATCGTACATAAAACCCTCATAAAGTAAACCGAGTGAACGAGCAGGGGATCACTCGCGACCTACGATAAGGAACCTGCCAAAGTCTGTGGGGATTCTTAGCAGAAGAAAGCTTCGAAATAAGTTGAGGAGGGCTTTTCGCGCGTCACTTCGCCGCGGAGCAGAGAACGACGAGAACGAGCGCCCTCGGCACGCCTACGCCACGCATGGCATATGCGGCTATTTTTGTTGACAGAACCCCCTACGGCCGCGGCAGTCCTGGGGACCAGGGATGGTGGGGGAGAGGGAGGGGGGCTGACGGCATCCTGGCGGCGCTTGCATCCGATCCGCACGGGGCGAGGCAGTGGCAGGGCAGCCCCGCGATGCTCGGCCGGCGCCGTGGCACCCGCGCGGCCGCGAGGCCGCAGTGCGCATCTGACAGCTGACCGGACCGCGACTGTCACCACTGAGCGGCAGAGGGCGAGACGCGGGGAAAGGGAGCCGCGAAGCAGAGAGTGTGCCTTATAAAGAGCAGCAAGTGGGTGTCATTTTCGCAGACGATCACTTGGTAAGCTACGCGGAACTAGGGTGGAGTGGTAGAGAGGAGGGGGGGGGGGCTTCTCTGGGGAATGACACAACATATGAGTCATCGTCAGTCATTGCGGTGTTTCGGGTAAACGGCGTCCTCCAGGCGGGG